GACTTTTAAAAATAAATAAATAAATAGTGTCTCCCTTACTAGTGCGCTGACTACTGAACTAGGGAGCTGATTGAGACACCCCAGAGATCTAGTTTGGGTTTATTATCTTTCTGTTAATTATCCTGATCTTAAACACACAGAAACACTCCTGCTGAAGCGACTGAGAAGACACACTATTATAAAGATGGCGTTTATTAAAGAGGAGAATGAAGACATAAAGATTGAAGATACTGAGACACAAACAGGTTGGTTTTCAATCTCAAAGCTGAACTCACTCATTTAATCCTTATTAAAATGTCCAGCTCTACAGAAATGAGTGATATTTTTAAAGAGTGTCTTTATTAGAGCGGTTTTATTTGACATGGAGCAGGTCAAGAACACGGGAGCGAGTCAAGATCACATGACCACAATAGATGTGTGACGCCAGGTTCACACATACTCCATCTGCAGTGTGTATGCGGTGCATATTTCTTTCTGCGCCCATGTTAACGGATTAGGCCCCGATCAGACAGAATGTGTTTTATGCAGTGAGAGGCGCCTTTCTTAATTGTTTTCTATTGGCAGTGAGCGTTTTGCGCTGTTTTCGTGTTTTTGTAGGAGCGCCCTGAGCGTCTGAAGTTGAAAAAAAAATCAACTCTGAGAGGAAAAGCACTCTACGTCATTTGCATTTTTTCCATTGTCCAATCGAATGAATGGAGAGTGCTGGCTTTCTCGGGTTACCTGGAGCTGTATTTTTAAAGTTTTTGCTAATTTAGCAGTTTACTTAACAGCAAACCTAAGATTTTAGAGCACTTGATTAGACTGACAGGACAGCTGATTCGGTGGTTGCCTAGCAACATGAAAAAAACGCAGCTAAATAAAAAATAAAAAAGTCAGCGTGTTGTTCAGCTCTCTTCCAATAGTGTCCGTGCGTGTTGTTCAGCTCTCTTCCAATAGTGTCCGTGCTGTCAAGTCAATAATATTGCCAAATATTAAGTGTCTCCAACTAAACAAGATAAAGGCAATGGTGGCAAGAAACCCAAACTCTCCTCTGGCCAGATGAACCAACATGGTGTGGTTTCATTCCAGGCTGAACCAGATTGTGGATTGATGTCATTCAGAACTTTCATCCAGTTCCTTCCGCTTGCATATTGAATACATCACATGGTGAAGGAGTCGAAACTGGGCACAAAAGGGCTGTGCATTAGTATGATTCTCGTGGTCTTTGCTGATGATTTGTGCTGATGGCCGTCTAGTTGAAGAGGTCTTCGCAGGGGATCTGGTTGTCATGATCTCCGTTGACAGATTTGAATTATATAAGTGTGTTATGTGTAAACCAGGTTAAAGAGATGGGTCTTTAATCTAGATTTAAACTGACAGAGTGTGTCTGCCTCCCGAACAATGTTAGGTAGGTTATTCCAGAGTTTGGGCGCTAAATAGAAAAAGGATCTGCCGCCCGCAGTTGATTTTGATATTCTAGGTATTATCAAATGGACGTGAAGGACTATAATGCGAGAAGAGCTCGCTCAAGTACTGATGAACTAAACCACATGTGTCGAACTCCAATCCTGCAGAGTGTAGCTCCAAAACACCTGGCTGGAAGTTTCGAGTGAGTCTGAATATGTTTATTAGCTGCTTCAGGTGTGTTTAATTAGGGTTGGAGCTAAACTGTGGACAGGACAGTGGCCGTCCAGGAACTGAATTTGACAACCGTGAGCTAAACCATTTAGAGCTTTGTAAGAAATTAGCAGGATTTTAAAATGTATGTGATTATTACTAGGGAGCCAGTGCAGTGTTGACAGAACCAGGCTAACATGGTCATACTTCCTGGTTCTAGTGTAAACTCAGCTGGAGTTTGTTTATTAAGTGCACAAAGCAACCACCCAATAAAGCAGGGCTGGGTAACTTCGGTGATCTTGATCAATATCTAGTGATCTTGAAGACATTGATTAGCTTGTTCAGGTGTGTTTGGTTAGGGTTGGAGCTAAACTCTGCAGGACAGCTCCTGCAATGAAGCATTACAGTAATCTAGCCTAGAGGTCATGAACACATGAATTAACTTTTCTGCATCTGACGTTGAGAGCATATGTTGTAATGTAAATATATTTTAAAATGGAAAAATGCATTTTTACAAATGTTAGAGATGTGGTTTTCAAAATAAAGATTCCTATCAAATAGCACACCCAGATGATGCCGAAGACTTTACGAATCAGTCATCAAGTGTTAGACAGTGTTCTAGATCATTGGATGCATAGTTTTTTGGTCCAATAATTAAAACCTCTGTTTGTTTTTTTCTTAAAAATGGATGGAGAGTAATTTCCTCATACTAAATTGTATGTCAGCTATGTATTCCCTTAGTCTTGTGAATTGGTAAATTTTGTCAGACCACAAATAAATATAGAGCTGAGTATCATCAGCCTTACAGTGAAAACTAACGCCTTGTTTTCTAATGATATCTCTCAATGGTAGCATGTACAGGGTGAAAAGGAACGGTCCTAATACTGAGCCTTGTGGTACTCCATACTGTACTTGTGATTTACATGATACCTCTTCATTCACTTATACGAATTGATGATGGTCAGATAAGTACAATTTGAACAATGCCAATGCAATTCCACTGACACCAACATAATGTTCGAGTATATTGAAATGAATGGTGTGGTCGATAGTGTCAAGGCAGATTTTGCTGTGTAGAGTATATGTTCTGTATTCATGGTCTTTGCCATTTAATCTAAATCAGCTCCAAAATGCAACACTATTCAGAGTATATTGCAATAAAATATTTCCTAGAATGCGTTGTTGTTGTTGTTTACATAATAGTACTGTTTTAATGGAAAACAGTTTGGGTTTAACAAGTATTTGTCTTTTTTAACTGTAGACCTGATGTCACTGAAAACGGAGAGTCAAGAACTGAATGAAATGGAGGATCAGTATGAGGAACATCATGATTTCATAACTGGAAAAACATCCATAAAGACTGAAAAGACGTCCTCACGAAAAAGACCCCAGAAGACCAAATCTAACACCTGCCATCAATGTGGAAAGTGTTTCAGTAATCATCGAAATCTTAAAGTCCACATGAGAATTCACACTGGAGAGAAACCCTACACATGCCAACAGTGTGGAAAGAGTTTCAATCAAACAGGGAACCTTAAAAGCCACATGAGAATTCACACAGGAGAGAGGCCTTTCACCTGCCTTCAATGTGAACAGAGTTTTAAACAAAAAAAAGCCCTTCTTTCCCACATGAGAATACACACCGGAGAGAAGCCATTCACATGTGATCAGTGTGGAAAGAGTTTCACGCATAAAGACACCCTTATTTCCCACATGAGGATTCACTCAAGAGAGGATTGTTTAATATGTCAACAGTGTGGAAGACGTTTCGCTCATAAAGTAAGCTTCAAGACTCACATGAGAGTTCACACTGGAGAAAACCCTCACACCTGCAAACTGTGTGGGAAGAGCTTCTCACGAAAAGGATCTCTTAAGACTCACATGGACATTCATACTGGACAGAAGCCATTTACATGTGCTCAGTGTGGAAAGAGTTTCAGACGTCAAGTGACTCTTAATTACCACACGAGAATTCACTCAAGAAAGAAACAGTTTTAGATATAATGACCTAAAACGCCTTAACAAGCATGAATAAATCACTCTTAGTCTTTTTTTTTTTTACATTAAACAAGCCTTGAGACTCACACAAGACTGGCACATGGTCTCAGTGTCGAAAAGAGTTTTACAGATGAAGGAAACCTTAATATCTTCATGGAGAGAAGCTGTTCATATGTGACCACTCTGAAAAGAGTTTCAGATATAAAATATCTCTTAATTAGCATGAGGATTCACTCAAGAGAACTGTTTTATGTGTCATCAGTGAGAAATGAGTTTCACATACAGAAAACACATTAAAGGGGTTATATGACGCTGCTAAAAAGAACATTATTTTGTGTATTTGGTGTAATGAAATGTGTTTATGCGGTTTAAGGTTCAAAAAACACATTTTCCACATACTGTACATTATTGTTTCTCCTCTATGCCCCGCCTTTTTGAAACGCGTCGATTTTTACAAAGCTCACCGGTCTGAAAAGCGAGGTGTGCTCTTATTGGCCAGCTATCCAGTGCGTTGTGATTGGCCGAATACCTCAAGCGTGAGACGGAAATGTTACGCCCCTCACCATACTGTGATGATGCCGTGTCCCGGCCGGAGCGACGAGACAAAAACATTAAAACCCATTACAAACGAGGCATTTGTTGCATCCAGTGGGGACATAATTATGGATTATAATAACTTATACTGTCTTTTTATGCGTTGCGTTGCATCGCGCCGCGTAAACATAAAACCATGTCTGCATTTGTGATCGGAGAAATGACAAACAACAAGCGCTACTCTACACTGCTCAAAACTCTCGTTTGAATCATCAGTGGCAAATCCTTTAAATGAAAACGTACTTACAGGCTGTGAGTCAGCATTAATTGTCAGCATAGACTGTATAGGGTTAGAATGCGCGCCGAAGGGTAAACCGGGGGATTGAATTCACCGGAACACCGGCATTGTAAGCTACTCTCCCAGGAAACAAAGGCCAAACAAAGTAGTTTCGCTTTCACAACGAATCACACGGCGTCTTAACGACATGGCGGCGGTGGCAACAATACTACAGCGAGAATAAAAGTTACGCCTTCTTTCTTTGCGTGCACATTTGGGCGGCGTTATGCAAATCTTCCCACACAGTGATGTAGACATGTGGGGGCGTGTTAGAACGAGCCGTTTTAGGGGGGCGTGGACGAGTCTTAACTTTTATAAAGAATATCTCTTTGGATTTGAGACTTTAGTCTTTGCAACTTTAGGGATCTTATCTATTCACGAACAGCTTGTAACACTCCAAAGAGAAAGGAAAACTTGAAATCGCATCATATGACCCCTTTAAGAAACATGTAATAATTCACACCAGAGAGAAGTGTGCCATCACAAGCTAGACAGATTTTAAGAATAAAATGGGAACAAAAATAAATTTTTTATTGGCAAATTAAAAAAAAAACATTGAGATCAGTTACAAGTACAAAGCCATTCACCAGCATCATGCAGATTAATAACAAAACGTCTTACAATACACGTCTGAAAAGTAGAGATTCTTATCAAAAACTCCCCTCATTTGACTGATGGTGCTGAATTTATAATCATATAATTCTTCATAGTTTTATTTCTTTTAGCTTTTAATCAGGGAGAAGCTTGAAATTGAACATGTTCCTGTTCTACACTACAGAGCCATACTGAACAGAAGCTGAAAATGTGTCTCTAGATTTGATTCCTGTTGCATATTTTTGAAATCTAATCACAACCCAACTCCATTCTTATGTTTGGACTTCATGTTTTGTGGAATAACCCTGTAGTAATCTGATTTTCTAAATGCTTAAACCCCAAACACACACACATTAGAACATCATTACCATGCAAACTTAAGTAACTACAGTAAAGTACAGAGTCACCCACTTATCCAGACGCTCACACTGGTTCTGATCCAGGATTCCCATGCGGCTGTACTCTGACACCAGGTTTCGGTATCCTGCTTTGTAGTAGCCTCGGATAGTTCATCGGACAAAACGTGGCACTGAGACTGAATGCTTTCACCTGAAATTACACACAAAGAATGTTGTTAAGTGCAGCAACATGACAGCTCATTTACTCTTAGACTATCAGTTGTGTCATGCACGCTTGTATTATCTCCTTTGTTGGTACGGCACCCAATATTTGTGCTAGACCTGCCGAGTACATAGTGAATGCATGAAAAGTCCTCACCCCTCTGTCCTGCGTGGCAAAGTGCCAGGTATAAGGAGTCTGGTTGACGACTGAAACCTGGGCACCCATTATTCACGATATCCTGTTACATTAAAATATTTCAGAGAACAAACAATGATCACTCTTAACAGTCAAAATTCGTCTAAACACACACAGCCACCAAAACCAACAATTCTCTCCTCACAACAAGTAGAATACCATTTTTTGAGCTTCGAAGCTTTGGAGGGAGGGGGCTGAACATATTCTTCTCTCTAATAAAGGCAGGAATCTCTGTGTGTCTGTCTGTCTGTTTGCATTTTTATTATGTTGAGAATAGGGTTGTGACGGTGAGGAAATTTTCCACCGGTTAATCGACGCGTGACAACACCAATAATACCGGTATCACCGCGGGGGCGGGGCGTTCCCTCTTTTTCGAATTAGCGGCAATTTGGCGTCAATTGCTTGAATGCAACAACAAAATACAAAGTCAAACTCACATTAGCGTATATA